TATGCAGAGGAAGTTTTCAACTCCATGAAAAATGAAAAATTACATCATAGAAAAGGACATTAGCAATCTTACAATTGACTTTGGAAATAATTTGGGTTTAATAGAATTTAACTTAAATTAGAAGATTATATTTTATTAGAAACTCTTTTTGTTTCAATACTCTTTATTAATATACACATTTAAGGACCGGTATATCTTTTTGAAACAATAAAACAAGATATTCTATAATGCATCCCAGTGTGTGGCTGTATACCCCCTGGTGGGGCTGCACTTTGTTTATCCTCCTTACGGTCTGGTGTCTATCTACCATCCATAGCCTTCATTTTTCCTTTCCAGAACTTCAAAGTATGGTCATCCTCAGGTTTGTGTTTTATGATCATCTTCCAATCATTGTAGGAAGGAAGGTTAGACATTGATTAGTATACATATAACTTATGAAGATCTTTCTTTGTCTTACCAACTTATTCCATGACCATGGATTTATAAATATGATGATGCATTTAAGCATGTGATTTTTTATTTTTCCTTGTGATGTATGGCTATGACTTTTCCACCATTAGAACTCTTGCAACCTAATAGAGTTTTGCCAATTTTGATCTATCAGTATCATCAGATGAGTAGTTCTGTCTTATTTCTTCTAGATTGGTACATTCATATAAATGACTTGATGTCATGACTGAGAATGTGCTGCTTAATGAGCAGCGAGGATCATCTCTCACTCTGATCCTGTGGATTTAAATAGTCTTCAGTGATTGATTGAAAAGCAACAGACCTGTGCCGTTGAAGAACACTTGGAACACCATAATTTGGATCAAGAAGGGTAGCCCACTGTTTCCTTTCTGCCCACTATTGATAAAATTGTTGCATTTAGTCTCTTAGGACTGTTTTAATGCATCTTTTATCAGCAGGAAATTTAGTTGCTGAGGGATGCATAACCATCTGGGAGTCTTATTTGGCTAGGGCATCAGCTTTTTCATTAACTGTGATTTCAACGTATGATGGGATCCATTGCAGCATCACGATTAATCCCCTGATAAAAAGCTCTCCAAGAGTCAGTTACCTTCCAGAACCTCACGGGAAATAGTCTGGCCATTGGTACTTAAATTAATAATGGCAGCATGTGAGTCATGGAGAATGACTGCTCTAGTACAATTTTTAGACATTATCATTTTAAGAGCCATTGCCACAGCATAGATTTCTCTATCAAAGTTATTTTCCAGGCAACCAACTGTCACGATTCCGGTCTCTTATCTCCATTGCTGCAATAGGCGCCAACTTAGCATCACCTGTTATAGTTCTGACTGCATGATTCTGTATTACATAGAGTTTTTCAATGGCTGATGTCAAAGCATTCACCAACAGCTCACTTCCATACTCCATTGCCAGTCTCACATAAGTCTTATTGGTGAGTGTAAGCATGTTCTGAGAGGCTTCTCATTTGGTTCACATTAGCCTTTTCAGTAGGCTTAATCATTTGGCCCCTTTCAATGTTCTACATTCTACATATCCATTCCATGTTAAACTTGAATGAAGCTTGATTCTTAGGTATGGAACAGTTTGTCTGTTTTAATATACTATCATTAATTGATAGTGAGATATAGTGCCTCTTAGTCAGAAGAGTAAAAAGCTGGTACTCCATCTTCATTGTGTTAATCTCCATTTTAATTTGAATTGCCAAGTCTGCAAGACGTTCTAGTGCAAGTTTAAAGGTCGATTCAAGAGCAGGAATATTGCTTGAAGTTGCCCATATAACCATGTCATCTGTTTATAGCAATGCATTGATTTCTGGGACCCTGGAAACCCCATTGATCATTATGTTGAAGAGGGTTGGGCTTAAAACTGAGCCCTGCGGAAAACCATGCGCTATCATATATCTCTGTACAAAAAACGACTTGAAAGTGAAATGAACAGTCGACCTCCGATCACCATGGTAAAAAGTTTCTATACCAGTAGTCCCTGATAAACAATGCCAAAAAAAGTCTTAAAGTCAACGAAAGTACTCTGCCTACGATAGTACCATCCTTAGTTTCTTGGGTTAAATGCAATACTTGCTCGTTGGTGTTTCTATTCTTCCTTAAACCTGTTTGAGAGGAGAGGAGAGGAGACTATTTTGATCTAAGTTAATTGCAGAAGATCAAGTATGAGCCTTTTATACACCTTGGAAATACCCATGTTTAGTGCAATTGGCCGATAATTTAATAGGCATGGGCTGGCTATCTGCAGGTTTGTCTTTCTTCAGAATAGGCACGATTTCAGCCTATCTCCAGCCATCAGGGAAATAACATTGCCATACCCAGTTAAAAAAGGTCGTTATTATGTTCTTAGCAGCAAGGCCCGAGTTGATTAAAATTCGAGTATAATGTTATCTGGGCTAGCACTATTTTCGTGCTTTGGAGCGTCTTCTCTACCCCACTCTGGGTAAAGTCATTTTAAAGTATCTCTCCTCCACATCATGTGAACATGTTGGAATATCTGTTGTTTTAAACGTTTTAGCTATTGTCCTAGGAAAAAATTGCTCATGGCTGCGTAGTGTTTACAGATTGAATGTGCAATGTCTTTGTCAAATGTTAGGCTAACTTCTCCCTTTTTGATAGGATTTTTCCAAAGAGGACCATTGTTTGATTGATTGGGAAATGAGCCGGTGTGTTTTAATGCCATATTTGCGAATATCTAATTGCTGTAGTAAACTTCTCAAGGCTGAATTTTTGGCAATAATTATTTCTCTTTTCAGAAGGCTGACTTTCTGTTTTAAAATAACTTGATTGGTAAGATTTCCAGATACATGGAATTTTTTTGCAGCTCTATCTCGATTGATTTTCACAGCTTCTAGGTTCTCATTCCACACTCTGATTAGCAGCTTTTATGATGGCATCTATGATTTTCTTCAGGGATTGCTCTAGTTAATAAATTAAACTAATAAGTCACTTGATCGAGTGTTAGGTATTGTTCAGATGCAGATGCATACTTTTTCTAGTCAGCTTTCTTTGTATTCCATCAGTCCCTCCTTTTCTCTTTGATCTTTTATGGTATGGACCAAGAGTTTCATTAATCACTAGGATCCTGTGACCAAAGGCTTCAGGTGATGAGCAAAGTGAGAGACTAATTTGGAGCAATTGATAAGTGAGCTTATACAGCGTCTCGCCAGGATGTTGTGTCTGTAAATGCCAGGGAATGTTGGTTTTCCACTTGGAGTTGGTATGTACTCCACCAGATTCTTGTCAATGAATTTCTCTCAAGTTCTTCCTACTGGATCTGTGTAACTGTAATCCCATCTAGTAGATAGAGCATATAGGTCACCAAAGAGCATACAGTGACGGTCCCAGGTGTATTCAAGCCAGGAGGGTGAAAAGTTGTTGCATGGTGGGTTATATACCAAGAAGAGATGTATGCTCTCCCTTTCCATACCTGTAGTTTGGCCACTTCGATTTTGTCTATGACAATACTTTTTTTCTTTATTGAGGACTACACAGTTAGGTTTGACCTCGCAGCTACTATGATTCTATATGAGCACTGATGTCTTTTGGAAAGAATGTACATCTGGTAACAATCATACAAAATAACTGAAAATAAATACATATATTATAATTGGTAAATGGTTGACTGTCGTGAATAATGAAGAGAAGAGAAGAGATGACGCCACTATACATCCCTTCTCTCCACCCCCACCCTGACTAACATGCTCATTGCTTAGATTTACGTCTCCGCAGTCAGGTGGGTTTTCTTTTTCTTTCTTATTCTCTTTCTTATTTCAACCTTCTCAGTTTCTTTCATCCCTCTGCTCTGCTTTAACTCTGTATTATATTATACGTTGTCTATACATCTTGATAGACTTTACAAAACCTCAGTTTTCTATCTAACTATTCTATTCACAATATCTTAATTTTACTGTTTATTTCCATTTCTTATAAAACTTATGTCACCTTTTTTTATTATGTTTACTTCATCATACCACACTTTGTACCGCTTATTATCATTTATCTCTTTGTTCTTACTATTGTCATTATTCTAACATCTGAATTTTACTTTAATTTTTTTTACCTACACTACTTATGTTTCTTATATATTGTTATCTGGTTCTTTTCTTAGCCTTGATGATGGCCTGAACTTCAGGGCGAAACGTCGGCTAATGTCAAAATTAATAGTATCATTTATTTTTGCCTTCTTATTTGACTGATCACCCCACCTATTCTTCTCTTCAAAATACATATATTACTTTACCTAACAATAAAGAATTATAATTTGTCTTTGCTCTATGTTTCTGGCAACTTGATGGAGGATTAAGTTTCCAATTGAAGCCACAGTTGTCTAAAACATCACATGATTTTTCAATTAATATAAAGTACTTAATTCCTGTCCTTTATTGTTAAATTTATGTTTATTTCTTCATCAACTGAAAAATTGTTCTCAACTAAAACTTCACTGTCTTGATTTTACACTGCCACCATTAACTCATTATCAGCTAAACATTCTCAGATTAAAACGCCCGATCTTGTCCTTATTCCTGTAGATGGCTTTGTTTATTAGTTCCAATGGCTCTTCATCTATATTTTCACTATTTAAATTGTTCCTTTGACTTTTAGAACTAAAATTTCTTGTGAAATTATTTCAAATCATCCTCTTATTTTAATTTATTTATTTTTTCAACTAAACTAAGTTTTCTTGAGGGAATAGAAAAGAATTTGAGTTATTGTGAGTTGATTGTATTACCTTTAAAATCCTTAAATTGTAAAGATAGTTGTTTTTTTATCTTTGAGGTCACAAATAAAAATACCTTACCTTAGGGCTCATTAAAAGGAGCTGATAAATAAAGGAACAAATATATAGTTTCATATTGGTATATATATTACATTCATAAATAAAACAGTTGATTTGTTTTCTTTTTATTGATTTCTGAATAAAACAAAAAAAAAGTTAAATTTTGTAAATATGAACAAAATATTTATCCTCGCGTACACATAATTTTTTTTGTTTGAAAATTCATTTATCCAATTTTGTTTCAGAACTGTAGATGGAAAGGAGAAAAAAAACAAGAAGAAAGGTCTGTTTTAATTTACTATTTAATAATTGTTGTGCCAACTTTTACTAATGAATATTTGTAATCTTGGCTAAGTACTAGTCTTTAAAGTTAATGTCAGCAAGAATGGGAGTTTGGTTTTATTAAAAATAATAAAACTACTTAAGATGTATAATTTATAAATTTTCACGAATTAACATTAGTCTTGTGTAAGACGTTATAAAAATATATATATGTATTTTTTATGTTTTGTTAATATAGATTACCGTGAAACCCCTCAACTTAGTGACACATTCCCTCCCTTTCTTTGAGGTTTAGCAACTCATTTATCAAATTTGCTTCAAACCTTTTAATTTGACTTTCCAGTCTACTCATCTTGAAAACCTTTAAGATTTGTGCTCGTATCAGATAGAGCTTTTATCACCCATTTCTTTCTTGTGATTGCTTATCCATGATATGTTGTATCGAAGCTTGTAGGTCACTGATAAACAACCACACAATATTGTTAAGAGTTTAGGCTCCTTCATTTTGCCACCTAATGCTGAACTACTTCTTCAGGTTAATAGGATGGATTCCAATACCTGAAATCTCTCTATTTCTGTTTAGTTCCATTTCCTCAATCGGTCACTTCATTAGCTTTTTGAAGGTCAGACAGAATATAATTTATTTAATACCACCTGCATGACTTTCTTTTCATGAAATTGGTTGGAAGAAGTGATGGCAAAATATGTCATTTAAACGTTATTAAACTGGAAAAACTTGTGTCCCATTGTTGGGCACTTGATTTTTTTCCATAAACAATACATAAATAAGGCTACAATATATGAATAATCCAACATTTCATGTCACTTTTAGTAGCCAATAGTATTGAGATTTGAATATGAACTTGCCTTGTTTCTGAGAAACACTGCATACAATAAAGTATGAGGAGACTTTCCTGAAATTCTATTATAAAAAAAATTGACACTGAAATCAGTTAACACAGAAGGTACTTACAATTCCTTCCTTTTTTTGCCAAACATGGGCGATAATTAACTAGATTTTTTTTTCAGTACTTAAGGTTGGTCATTAGATCCACTAGAGAATTCTGATGCCCAAAACCTTTAGTGTCACATAGTTGGGCACCTGTTACTTAGTTGAGGCGTTTTACTGTACTCCTGGTTTTTCTTTTGCTTTTCTGTTATTTATCTTTGATATTTAAAAGATGTTTTAATTTTTGTTTGCTTATTCTGCAAATTTTGACTTTTGTAATAGTTTTCTTTCAGTTAGAAGTTAGAAATGAATAGATGATCACGTTTTAATTCCAACATCAAGAGTACAAATGAAACAATGCTAAAATTAAGGATTCAATTTTATTTCATAAAATAAAATGTTACCATTATTTAAGTATTACTAAATCTTATCATCATTGATCTATAGATGTATAGAAAATCACTTATAAGTTGAATATTCACTACTAAATGCCGAAGGTACTATTATTGTTTTGCTGATACATTTTTAATATATATATATTTTTTTTTACTTTTGGTATGTTTTCATAAAATATACTTAAATTATATTTATAAAAAATTGTATGCATGTAATTAATTACTTAAATTGAAAATCATTTATGGTAATATTTGTGCCTTTATTTATTTTTATGGTTATGACTTTTTGAATGCACAGTTAATTTATGTTTATTGTGATTATCCATCTCAAATTTTCAACTCAGTGACATAATTAAAAAAAAATTATTACTGACTTCATGTTTTTTCTAGGTTTCACTATTTTCTTAATAACTTTGTTAATCAATGTATTGTTCAAAAGAAAATTGAAAAATTATTTATTATTTGCATTTGACTTGATGATTTTAGAACATATATAATTGTCAAGTTTCATATGTTACTTAAATTCTCTTCATTGTATTATAGCTATAATTGATTAAATTTTCAGTTTTCTTCATCATCTTGTTTGTATATATTAAAACAGATCACAAACATAATGTATTTTACAATATTTTTATGTTTACAATTGTTCATTTTTATGTAGATATATTCTTTGTTAGATGCCAAATTGGAGTAATGGAGTAGTAATTTTTATAAATATAAGTGTCAACTACTTATTATTTACAGACTGAGTATGGCATTCCTATATTTTACCAAAGCAACACTTTTTTTATACATGAAAATATTGTTTTTCTTATAATTTAAAAAAAAATATTATTCACACTTAACAATAAAACAAAAATTAAAACTCTAATACAGCACAAGATAATAAGATACATCATATTTTATTTTTTAAATTATAAGTTTCCAATGTATCTATAAGACTAGTTGAATCTTTTATTTTTAGGCATATATTTTTGTCCCCACCTAACAAAATGCACGGTTATAACAATGTATGTTAGTGCAAAGTTTATTAACTCATTATTATCCATGGATTTTCAAATTTCTGGTTGTACCTTTATGTTCATTTATTCTTTATATTACAAGTATATACATTTGACATGTAAATGAAACATTAATTGAATTTTAAAATCAGTTCAAAAATCTTCATTTAATATTGCTCAACAGTGCTCCAAATCATTTCATGTTCCTTGAAATTATGCTATTTGAAACAGCAATAGTTCTATTACAATAAAAACAAGTTGGTATTAGTCATATCTTTACTACTTCTCATTTTCATTTTATAATTGACTTAATAGATAAATAGATACATATTGCTTACCAGATATATATATATATATATATATATATATATATATATATATATATAATTATATAATTATTTAAAGCTGTGATGCTAAGTCTACTTTAAAGTATCTTTAGCCTTATGATGTAGCTATATGATTAACAATTATTATACTTATATTTTTTATTAGTTATACTACTATAAAATAAAAAAAATCATTATTTAATTAGTATATTATTTATTTGTTTAGGCTAGCATTGTCCATGTTGATCAACCAAAGACCTATTTTTATAATTTATTTTATGTAGCCATAAATGAAATTAACGCAAGTAATGTTAGTTTTGAGAAAGGTTTGGTGCATCTCTATTTCATATTATATTTTTTTAAAATATTAAGATTTAAGCAATTATATATATTTTTATTTTAAATTATTATCTTAACTATTCTAAATATTTTTCTGTAATTATTACTGATGGTATTCTGCTATCTGTTACAATGGTTGTAAACATTAAACTTTATACGTTTTTATTCTAAGTTATTTTCTTAACTATTCTGATTTTTTTTTCTGCCATTATTGCCAATGCTAAAGAAAACATTACAGGATAGTATTGTATCATCTATTATGAGAATTTATTAATTATTATTAATATTAACATTAAATTTTAAATATAATATTCAATTTAGAACACCTCCTGCTCATTACTAATGATTTTTGGCCTATCTTCGTGTTAATTTTATTTTTGATGAAATGCCATAAGCATTTTAAAAAATATCACTAATATAAAAATATTTCTATGAAAAAAATGGTATTTCAATTTTTTTTTTCCTCTTTTTCTAAATGCCCTAATTGTGTTTTTTAATTTATACAGATGAATGATGGCTTCGTAATCTTTCTTGCTACTCGTAAAACAAGGCTTTAAATCATTTCATCTATAAATCTTAGATAGATTATAATAAAAATATTTAGGTAGACACTGCTAAAATCTCTGTGTTTTTAGGACATAACTTTTAGAATGAGTTGAAGTTTTTTAGTATGATTTACACATTTCCCAAATATCACAAAGACATAAAAACTTTGGTTAACATAAACCAACTAAAATTAACAGTTTTAAAAAGGAAAACCATTAAAAATATTTTTATAAACAGCAGAAATACGAATCTGTTGAGTTCTAAAGCAATACTAGCACTTTTGTGGTCCTTTCCCCATGATCTTTTTGATTAGTGCCTAAAAATCGTTAGTAGACCAGATCAACCATTGAACATACAGTAGCATGCAGGAGCCTATCTAAATACCCCAGTCACACATCTCATGTTTTTTTACTGTGAAAACATTGATTTACAATAACAGATAACAATTAAATGGTTAGGGGAAAAAAATTATTTATTTCTATTGTACTTAATGAAAATAAAATAATTTATGAATGTCAGCAGTTAATGTCGATTTCAGCTTGGCTTTATCAAATTAGCTGAACATGATATTTATTCTCAATACCAATTTTTCTATATGCTTTTTGGTACATCATATTATTTTTTAAAAGTTGCTCAAACTAGATTGATCGTCTTTATTCCTTGAAATTATAGATGAATAAATGAATTTAGAGTTTGATGAATCAATAATGTTTTCCATAATGAAATAAAAAATAAAAGTTATGGCTTATAAAAATAATCTCTGGGTTAGTATTGAGTTATAGCTATTTAATATTTTCAGCCACAATAATAATAAGGCTCAGCAAAAGTGGATTTATATCGGTAACTCCAATGTTTGCATATATATACCTTCATCTTTCACTGAACTCCATAAAAAATTATGTAATAGTGGTCAGCCTTAACATAAACCTCCCACCTATGTTTCATTCTAACTTTCGATCATTTACCTACCAAGTGAGGGCTGGGAACTAACTGTTTTATGGACACAATAATTACCAAGCACTACATGTTTGCTGTTCTATTATCACTTCAGTTATATTTAATATGAATACAATGCAATTCCATCTTAAGTTGTTTTTCTTCCTTTATTATAACTGGGCACATTTTCAGCTACAAAGTGCAGTAGGGACAACTATCTTAACTATCAGTAGATGATAGTCTTGTAAATTTGTTTAATTGTTTTTTTCTTACTCTTAACAGTTACTTACTGTTTTTCTTACAAAATAATCAATGAAGTTATTCAGATCTGCAACTTTAGCATTGCATAATAGTAATTAAAACTGCCCCTACCAATTTACTTTTTTTGATATCATTCATATTTAAAAATATTTTAATATCAATTTAAAAAACATGTTTAAAATTTAAAATTATTATATGTTTTTCCTTTATATAGCTAGACATAAATGTGTTTTTAAATTTAGTTTTATTTTTAAAATAATTTTAATTACTGGAATGTTGCTTTCTACTGGACAATGCTAACCACATCTTCTTTTTAAAATCATGTGTCTTAATTATGGTTCATCTTATTCTATCATAATGTATATGGTGGATTAGTTGGTAACTAACATTTAAATTATTTATTATTTATCTTTTTAATATGTCTGACCATTTATGTTCAAAAAATAAAATTTAGATCAAGTGGTTACCTAATATCCAAGTGTTACTTACGTTCATTACAAAAAAGCTTGCTTTAAAAAAAAAAAATTTTCTTAAAATCTCATGCTTTCAATTTATTTTATTTATTGCTTATAGTCTATGATGATGATATCTTATCAGAACTATCACATTCTAAAAAACATTTATTTTCCTTTTAATATATGATGGACCACATGTTTATTTTTATCACCTCATCTTTCAAGAAAATAATGTTGAAATTGTATTTTTATCATGTTTACATGTAATGTTGTACTCTGATTGTTTGAAACTGATTAGTTGTATTGTTTATTATGTGTTCTGTTTGTAACAGAATGCATTTTTGAACTGAAGTAATTTGTGTAAAAATATGAATCTAGTTTTAAGGTATAAATATTATCCTACGATCGAATTATTTCTTAATTATGATTGAAATTGTTTTTTTCCTTATTAAATTTTATACTTTTCTAGCAATTTTTACTTGTTTTGGCTTTTTGTATATTTTTGTAATTCTGCTGTAAAACTTTATTTTCTTAGTCAATTTATTGTAAATAAGTTTAGTGTGATCTGTATGTGGCCTCTCTTCGCTACATTTTGTAGATTTATGTCTATAAATTTTTTTTTCATCATTAATGAATTTTACCTCTTATGTTGATGCCTTGTCTGGAAAAATGCTTTAATTTCCTCAATTGAATTCAAGTTGTTATTAACTATTATAGTGTGTTGATTCAAAGGTATTGAGCTTACAACTAAAAAGTAAATTACATAAATAAAATTTTCCCCTTAATAAATGTTCATACATTTCTTTTAATTGACCTATAAAAGAAACATTTAGCCCCCAAATATGAGATATAAATTGTGAAGTATAATCATATATACTTTTATAGTGTTTATAAATTAATTTTGAATCAACATGTATGTAGCGAATAATAAATTTTTATTTTGGGATTTTCCATAATTTTATTATCATAACATTTCCTTCTTCTTAAAAATGTAAAAGCAATGTTGTGGATTTCATCTGTCCCATTAAGGCTGGTGTTTTTATTTATTTTGTACTGAAAATGTCCAAGTGAATATCGTATGTAAACTAATTTTGATTATTTTTTTTTTCTTTTTGTTGAAGTGAATAAAGAATAAAAAAAATCTCAGATGGTTAAAGCTAGAATGAATATACACTATTTTCTTGATATATTTTTATTTAATACGTTTAAGTAATAGAAATTTCAGACCTTTAAAATTGTTTACAAAATTTAAAAAAGATACAATAGTGCACTGTACTGGGTAACATTCGGTACAAGTAAACAATTTTAAATACATAGTATAATAAAAAATAGTAATCAACTGGCAAAGAGTTTGGCTCTGCATCCTCTGTAGTGTTGTTCTAAATCAGCATGAAGCATGCCCAAAATTTTGTTAATAATGGCCATGCATGTATTCACAAAACTCAGGAGGAACATTGCAAGAAACAGACTTTTCTAATGGTGGACAAGGCTTCCCCTTATTTTGTGCTGGTTTCTGAAAAGAATATATGTTCATTAAATTAATAATTAAAAAGTAACACTGAAAATCAACGTGATTTTGTAACCCATCGAAAAATTCAGGTATCAGAAACTAAACTGGTGGTCAAAAAAACCAGCACACCTTGAATTTTACATAATTAAAGAAATATTTTTGAGTCTGAAGTAACAACAGGTAAATGACAGTACAAAAGGGATTACTATGCATTAATCCTTCCGAGATAATCTTATAATTTTCTCTAGGATCAATGATAAAAGTGTTAAAATCAAATGTGGACCTCATATCAATTTGTCTCCAGTTGCCTGGTCAATCGCATTGGTTTTGCATTTTCTTTTTTTTTTTTTTTTTTGCTTTTGTTTGAAGAACAATTTTTCATTTGTATCAACAATTTTTAAAAGTGTAAAATGATTTTGGGTCCCGTGGCCATGGCAGTCTCTCAGATTACTGCTTTGATTTAAAACGGCCGAAGTCAGCGATACGCGACCTGAGTCCACAGGCTGCCTGAAAAAAACAGTTCGCCTGGCAGTCCAGAGGTACCGCGAGACAGGAAGCTATGCTAGGAGGTCGCAATCAGGTCATACAAGAGCAGACAAGTCCAGCTTGATAACCGCTCCATTGCCTTGCAAACCCTCAGATACCGCTACCCTACTTCAGTTGAGACTTCTTCGATTGCATACTGCTCGGGATGTGGATGTCAGCCCGCACACAGTAAGCAGGAGGCTTCATGAACTCAATATTCACGCTAGGGTTCCCGGTTCGAACTCTACATTCAACCGCAGCACACCGAGTAACTCGCCTTCACGTTTGTTGTGAACACGCTGCTTGGACAGAAGATTATTTGACCTCTGTTCTATTTTCTAACGAGTCCAGGTATTGCCTTTATAGTACAGACGTATGATTTCTCGTATGGAGAAGACCAGATTAGCAATTAGCTTAGTGTAATAAAGGGGGAAGAGTGCAGTTCGAAGGAGGCTCGGTGATGATTTTGCGTGGAATATGTTTAGAGTCAAGTACAAACTCCATGTGTTCCAAAGGTCGTTGCTCAATGCACCAGGGGTGCCCAGAAGGGAGATTATTGCGCAATCAAAATTTTTGAGAGGGGCACATTTCGACGGTATTGTGAATTTTCGTAATGAAAAGTTTCAAACCACAAGACGAGGGGAAACAGTGGAACAGACCTCTGAAAGTGTACTTGTTTATAATCTATAATATTTAAATTATGCTTTCACTTGCATTGTTTTTAAGAAGAGAAAAGCAATGAAGTATTTTAGGAGGAGGGGAGTAGGTTAATACGCCATCGACGTTGGGGAGGGGGCATCCCTGCAATGCACACACGTACATCACTGACACTAACGTATCCAGGATTTAATTTTTGGGAGAAGGCTTCAGGTTTATATATATATTCATATATAACAATGATCACTTAAGGAGAAATAAACTAACTACCCTATAAGAAATAGTGTTTAAGCAAATCATGAAGTCCTATTAAATGTAATTACACGGACAATAATAGTTTTTTTTCATAAGACATGGTTATATTTTATCATTGTGGGAGGGTCTTAAGCCCGAAAACCTCCCCTCCCCTCCGTAGATCCACCTGTTATCAATGACACCCATATGTGACAGGAATATGTGATACCTTTTGGCTCCTTTATTGCCCTCCGTTTCCTTTTTATGCAGGATAATGCTCGGGCGCACATCGAAAATTTTGTATAGGACTACCGAGACGATGTTAATGTCCACACCTTGAATTGGTCAGCTCGCAGCCCGGACGTGGATCAGATTCAAGATCGAGTAACCACCTTATTCGTAGTATGCCTACGAGAGTTCAGGACGGTATTCAAGAATAGGGAGGCAACACTAAATACTAGTGACTCAGATTTCATTATTAAACATATATTAGATGTGTGTTATTTTTGTTTAAAAGAGTCTTCGTTTGCTTTATTTTTCATTACTTTTTTTAAAAACAAATTTTCGTTGTTTTTCCCCTTTATTAGTGGTTTTCTACAAGCTGTGTCACACTATATTCATGTAAAAAAAAAATTATGTTTTTTTCTGTTGGAAAAGAAATAACGACAAAATTTAAGGTGCGTTTTTTTTTTTTTTTTATGACCACCAATGTATAAACTAATATAAGGAGAGAAATGAAATAAGTTATATAAATGAAGCTAAATCTATAGAACATTTGGCATGATTTTTTAAGTTTCTAGTAAATCTAAGCAAAACTTAGAAATCATTAATATAGATATACAAATATGATGACACAATCTTAATAAAATGAAGTAAGATAAAAATAATAGACAAGAAAGAATCAATTAATAAAATTAAAGATTCGAAGTGCAATAAAATGCACATTGGTGAGACTCTAATATTGAAATACCATTATTTGATTTTGAAAATATTAATATCTTACTTAGTGAAAATGAAACCCAAAACAAATAGAGCCAAAAGAGATAAATAGCCCTTAAATAAAACTTCATAAACAGTTCAAAATAATTTAAGTTCGACTTCGTTTATCATTTTATTTTTTTCCCTTGAGATTAAATTCTTCTGTATTCATTTTATGTTACCGCTACTATCACTATTTTAGGATCCTCAACTTATACTAAAAATATAACTGTGTATACAATAAATAAAATATCTGTGCCTTAAGCCAAGCTTACACTTTATTTAGACAAATCAGAAAAATACAATGAATTAAAATTCAAAACTTAAATCTTTTTTTTTTTTTTATTCATTGATATTTACAACTGTATTAGAAAAAAATACAACTGGTAAATGTGCACACAGTAATAATACAATCACATGAAAACGCTTGTTGAGAAACTACCCATTGGTAGCATTCTAATAATATATTTACGTAAGTAGATCACAAGGCCATCTTCATTTCAGACGCCTCGGAGGGTTATCAGGGATCGAGGAGGAAGCAAGGTTTGAAACGAGAGGGTTCGGATGGTTCTGGAGTTAACATTAAGGTCTTTACGGATGATTTTATTTGTGACAAAGTAAGGAGCGTTGAGGATTTTGGATTGTAAGGATAAAACAAATCTAAAAAAAAAAAGTAACAATGAGTTAAACAAAATTAATAATAGTAGGTAGAGAATACTATATATATATATATCAGTATTGTTTACTCGGAAAAGTTACTTGTAAATTTCTTTACTTTAATTTCAATGACTGTCAGATATTTCAGTTAAGGGGACCATGAAATGTAAATCTTGAATTCCTTACTCCGGCTAAAATAGGTTGGTATGTTTAGGATTATTCTTCCCTGTTGTCCATGTGTAGTACATAAGGGTGTAAAAAGAAAGATGTAGAAATTATTTATATAAAAATATACTTCTTAGTGAACAATGTTGCTGCCGAACCAGTTGATGCTCAGTTAGTCTATTTAATCATGATTTGTTCAAGTTGAAGCAATGTATGTTTACTTAACATGTAATATCTAATTTAGTTAATTACACTTTTAAACGTTCTCCAATTAAATTGTTATTACGTCATAAGTTTAAAAAAAAATTACTTTCTAACTCATATTTTTAAGTGTAACATATAATAGTGAATCAACAATGACACAATTTAGTGAATAATAATATTTACCAGTATTGTTCTTGTTTTCCGTTTCGTACCATTAGTACAAGGATAACATTCAGACCAGGAACTCCATTTGCTAACAACACAATCAACGGTGTCTTTTCTGTTGACTTCAGGAACTACTCCAACTTGAAGAAGAAAAAAAATTAAAGTTAATTAAATATCACTATTTTTAACAACGGGTTGGAATCTGGGGTGCGAGAGGGAGATGATGTTTCATCACTATTATTCAATCTGGCTCCTCACAAGGCAATTGGAGCTTTTGAAACAAAAAGACCCATTGTTGACAGAATGACCTAGTTTCAGGCTTTTATTTTAGGGATGATGTGGTGACAATGAGAGATAGGCAAATGGTATTCTTGAGTACTGAGTACCAAGTATTTACTCAAACACTGGCCTTTTTTTAGTACTATAGAATTTAATTACTAATTCAGTTAATGTCAAACGATTAACTAAAGTAGTGATTGAACTCCCAATAGCGATTCAATCTGAGTAAATTACTTGGTACTCAATACTCAGAGTAGCATTTGTCCATCTCTGGTGACAATGGCAAGAACTAGAGGAGCATTAAATAGCTCATTTAATGAAATTAAAAAAGTAAGCATCGGGATTCAAATTAATAAAAGTAAGACAAAATATTGGGTTGTCCGGAAAATAATGTTGGCTTTTGGTTTTAAAAGAAAAAACAAAGATTTACTTCTTCTTCAGCCATCTCCTTAGTGCCATCAACGTGGAGGAACAGCCTCTGCCCATCTTGTCCACTGATCTTGGTCACTGGCCCTCCTTCTGATATCCACCATGGTGCTACCTCTGGCTCGCCCTAGTCTCTTCATGTATTGACAGTACAACAGCCTGGCCTGCCTCTTGGTCGCTTTCCCTCGGGTTTTTCTTCTAGGAACCATTTCGCCTTTCGGTTATCACCCATCCGGTACACATGGCCAAACCAGTTCAGTTGGCGCTCCTCCATGACTTGTTTTACAGACTTTATATTAAATTCCTCTCGTTCCTCCAGCGCTCTCTCCATGTGTTCCCAAGAACCCTCCTGAGGTATCTCATTTCTATGGCCGTTAATTTACTTGCATGTTTATCCAGGACCGTCCAACTCTCTGCACCATACAAAAGGACAGCCATAAATACTGTTTTAAACAAAGCTATTTTTATTTTCTTCTTTACCTTCTGTTTTCCTATAGAGATAGAATAACACACCATTGGCCTTCTTGACTCTATTTAAAACCTCCTAGCCGATCCTTCCATCTCTGCTGAAAATCGTGCCCAAGTACTGGTTGTTATCTACATATTCTAATAGCTCATTATTACTTTTTATGAGAACTTGTTCTTCCACATCTCGGCCGACGAGCATCACCTTACTTTTTGAGGGGTTTCTTTCCATTCCCTTCCTCTGGAGTTCTTCTGACCATTAATTAACAGCCATCTGAAGCCTTTCTTGGGTGTCGGCAACCAGGACTACATCATCTGCATATAGGAGAGCTTGTGCGTGCACAGAAATTAAATTCCAGTATCCAACTGTTGCTCTTGGCGTCCTTCGCTTACAAACCTCCTACACTTTATCCATGCATATGATGAATAGTAGTGGGCTTAGGCTATCACCTTACTTGATGCCTTTATAATACCTAAATGGTTGCGATTTAGATCCGTTCAGCAGCACTGTTCCCTTGGGTTCCTGGTATACCGATTTGATAGCGCTGATGAGATTGGATGGCACCCGTTTTTCCTGTAGAACATTCCAAATCTCTTGGCGAGGAATCGAATCAAATGCATCCTTCAAGTCCAGGAATGCCAAAAATAACCTTCTCCCTCTATCTCATGCTTTCTCAACAACCATTCTTAATGAGAAAATATGATCCTGGGTTTGCCTCCCTGGTCTAAAACCAGCCTGCTCCTCTTCCAGATCATACTCCACCTATCACCTGAGCCTCTGCTCCAATATTCTTGTATATAGTTTATATACTACAGAGGATATGCATATTGGTCTTTAATTCTCGCACTTTGTCTGGTTGCCTTTCTTGAAAATCGGAATTATAGTATTATTTCCCAGTCCTGATGTATTTTCTTTTGCGACCAGATCTTTTGAAAGAGGTTCTGGAGGCATTTGATTATTTCTTCTCCTCCATATTTTATGAATTCTGGTATGTTATTATGCCTGCCTGCTGCTTTGCTCAATTTTATTTTCTCCATAGCCAATGCAATCTCATCTTCCTCTGTAACATCACTCTCACCATTCTCACTATTCTCCACCTGGTTTTCACGGATTCTAGGTCTGTATCCCTGGAAGGAAAAGGTACTCTGGTAATTTATTTACCATACTTTGAGAATTTCTTTTTCATTTGACACCAAATTATCGTTATTGCCTTGGACCCTTCGTATATGTTTCAGTACATTGCCCTGGCTTCCCTAACAATTTGCTTGGCCATGCTTCTTTCTTATCTTTTACTGTTTTTTACACTTGGTCATTCCACCATCTAGTACTTTTGATCTGAGGCCTTATTTTCTTAATACCAAATGCCACTGTTGCATTAGATAGGTTGATTGTTTTGATATAAAGCCATAGGTCCTTAAGATTTACAACTGTTTTATTTAATCAAAATAGTCTCCAGTACTATCAATAAATGTCTGTATTGATAGTAGCGGAGACGTGTGCCTACGTCTTCGCAACTTTTCCATTACCTAGGAATAGAATTTCCCATGTTTAGAATGGATAAACTCCAAAAATGCATTTTATAAATTTCTTTGCCCATTAAATTTTTTGGCACGTAGTAGTGGTCAAGATGTCTACAAATTGTTAATCTGTAGGCGAAAGGTCTGGAGAGTAGGGCGGTTTGGCAGAGTTACATATCAAGCTCCAACAGTTTTTGCGACCTCACACCTGAGACATGTGGTCGGGCTTTGTCATGCAACAAAATGGGCCCCTTCCGATTGATAAAAATGGCTTCATTATTACCAATTTCCGATACATTGCATTAATTTGGTTACAATACGATTCGGCATTGATGGATTCTCCAAGATTTAAGAAGCTGTAGTGTATCAAACCAAATGAATCCCACCTAACAGTAACCATCACATTTTTTTGATGAGTTGGAAAATGTTCTGCTGCTTCTCTTTTGTCGAGCCACTGTCCAGAATGTCTACTGTTATCGTAAAGTATCAACTGTGTTAATATAACAGTGCTGGACAGAAAAGGGTTGTTAATGTTTTGCCAAAGAAGTGTAGTACAAACTTCATAACTCTTTTTTTTTTTTTTTTTTTGCGGTCGTTTAATGTGTGTGGAACCCAACTTTCAACCTTTTTCACCTTTCCAATCGCCTTGAGGTGGTCATCGACGGTCAATTTGCTAAGATTAAGTTTCCCTGCAAGTTCTCGAACAGTCGTTCTGGAGGTATCTTCCACTAAAGCCCGCATACCATCGTCATTACACGACCTTCTTTGTCTTCAAGACTGAAGTCTCCCTCCCGAAATCTTTTGAACCATTGTTGAACATTGCACTCATTAATGCTGCTCTCGCCCCAGACTTGATTGATGTTTTTGGCTGAGTTTAAACTTGTTATACAAAAATCTCGCGTTGACATCTTAGTAAAGCCTTAGGTAATTATTTCTAAGCAGCGAAATGCTACTGAGGTAACAAACATCATCGTTTGAAAGAGAATTAATAAGTGTTGACATTCATACAAATGAATAATCCATTAAACGTAAACAGCTTGTTATACAGAGGGGTATTTTAAATAAAACTCAAAATCCTGCATTATTTTCCGAACAACTCAATATTTTAATGTCGTGGATTAGCAGACCCTAAGGGCATTTGAACGCCACATTATTAGGAATATTTATGATAGGAACTCCAAACAGATGGTGTATGGAAAGTGAGAAGTAATGATGGCATAATCACCATTATGAAAAACCAAGCATCATAAGTTTTAGAAAATATCAGAGAATCAGCTCGCTAAGAAATGTGCAGCGAAAGTGTAATGACTAAAAGTAAAAAAAAAAAAAAAAACATACTCACATGTAAATAATTGAAACAAAAAGGGTCGTCTATGTAAATTTAGGCTGCACGAAGCACTGTTGTCAAAACTCAGTTTAGGAGGACGAAATTATTATCATAATAACATTTTCCGCAGCACGAGATTATCACTTTCATTCATTGATTTGAAAACATTAATATTTTCAGTTTAAGATCTTTAATAATTCCACACCGTCGTTTAAAAAACACTTATAAAAAGTACTATGAATTCTACCATAATTTTGAATAAGATATTTCAAGTCCCTGCTTTTACGTGTTTTGTTAATACCTTCAGTTTATATATATCATTTCTACAGCTATAATAAATAAACCTTCATCACGTTGTGTCACCGTAAGATCATAGGATCTCTGTGAACTCACCATCATTAGATGTAATAATTTAATAAATCCGATATAATGGTGGATTGTGATCAGTACCTACTAAAATCAAACTGAAGCAGTTATATTTTCGATACAAATACGTTTCTGAATATAAACTATGTCAATCATGGTGCAGGCAGGCCTTTTGGCTCTTTTCTCTGAAGGAGAGCCCGAAGATGAGCAGTTGTAAAGGTTAAAAAGTTTCCTGTTGATACTCCTTATTATTTTCAAATCCGAAAGATTTAAAAATTGTTTCATTAGAAGGATTAATTGTATCCTCGTTATGCCTGAGATTTATGTTGTAAGGTATTGAAAAGTAGGGAAAATGCAACATATAAAATATCTCTATAAAGACTAATTGTTTAAAAAAATATTACTCACAATTGTTTTCGCTTTTGATTTGTATGATTGATTCTCAGATTTCGGCAATTAAGCTCTGACAAAACGATTAGCAATATCATGAAAAATAAAAAAATAAAATACCTTCTCCGCAAGTTGCGTTACAACTGGCGAATGTCTCAAAGTTATTACGGTTTCCTCTGCAGCCTCCATAAAAAAATTCTTTGCAGATCCCAGTGTTTCGGTCGAATGCCCATTTCTTGAATTCTGCACGGCAAGGTCCAGGTTTTATGTCCAATGTGCAAACACCTGCGAAACGGCTTTTCCTTAAAATCCACTTTAGTCAGCAATGAATGAATTATCTCATGATAAATTACTCATTGCATCAAAGCTCATTAGCCAAGTTTGACGAGTAAAATGTTTGTTTAAATAGAATAGTTTTCTTGTGAATTGCAATTAAGTGAATATCATTCATAGATACTAGTAATATAAATAACGAAACTGGAGCTGTTTTTTAAATCCATAGCTAACTAATAGTTACATTTTTTCTAGTTATGGGTTTGACACATAGAGTATCTTGCGTTTCTCTCCTAGCCGCGGATCCCATTTATTGGAATTCAGTATAAGTGGAGCTCTGCTCTGACCTGAGGAGGTATCCCACGTTGGAACACCGGAAATAAGTAAGTAAGTAAGTATAAGTGGCGTAGGAAGAGCTACTAAGACAAGGGCGAAATATTAGATGAGGTCCCTATTACTAAGGAGGGAGGAGAGAAATATTTAACAATATTGTTTGCATTTTTCAATTCAATAATCATTACGGAAGAAAAATTGAAGGTGTTTATTCAATGTTCAATCTTCCAATTTATCTAATTCAAATTGAGAATCATTGGAATGATCATAAACTGAATCCATAGGCGCCGACTTATGAAAATTATTGAAGGGGCCAAACCATTGGATCACGAGGTGGATGGACCTGAGGGGGTGGGGATATTGTTTGGAATGTATCCTATATGCTTATAAACAATATATAACATATGTTTATATACGAAATTATCTTCTGAAGAAGGTATTAAGTTGTTTCAAGCCCTTTCTGATGGCAAAAAAAGTGTAAAGTCACACAAAATATTTTATACTAAAACATTACAGTATTTTAATAGAAGGTTCTTTTACGATTTAGGAATCCAAATAATTAATCATAAATGACTAAAAAATAAATGACTTTGCTTTCCTTTTAGATTATTATTTTTGCTCGGATTTTTGTTTGTTTGTTGTTGTTGAATTTTCATAAAGTTCATACTATAGCAATTTGTTAAGGGTGCTGAGCTCCTACCACGCCAGCACTGGGGGGAGGGGGGCGGAGCTCAAGCCCCGCGAGGCTCTACTAGTTGGCGCCTATGACTGAATCCATTTTTTTATTTATTTATTTTTTTTTTTTGGAAGCAATAGGAGTTTAATATTACGTTGGTTTGAAAATTTCTAACTGTACTATGAACAAATACATAATAAACGAAACCAATCGCATGCGCATGAAAAAAAACAACTAATAAATATAATAATTAATTATTTAAAGGGAGAGAAACACATTCAGACCAGCCAAGCGTAGCTTCCAAAGAGCTTCCAGTATCGTGATCTTCTCCCAACTCTGTTTTCCCACTGTAACATAATTATCTGTATGCTCTCGATTGAACCTTTCTTACGGAGTAGTCAGAAAGGTGATTCATAAAGCTAAAGAACGTAGAGTAAAGACACCTTTTATTGACACGTTACCAATTATTGATACTTGTAACTTGTTAAAATAAGCTTTTATTTTCAGCTTCAAACTTGACGCCCTTTCAAAGGCACATTAATCAGAATATGAAAGGAAGCCAAGTTTGTAATTTTACATGAACCCAAATGCTTAATTTATAAAATTTAAGTTACAAGTGTCAATAATAGATGCCTTTACCCTACCTGTTGTGGAGGTATAACTGGACGTAAAGACGTGTTCTCAAGTGGTCGGTCTTCTGCAATTCAAGAAAATGTGCACAATACTTACGAGTAGCCCATGGATACGCCAAAGCAGTGCTACTCACGTGACAGCTCATTTTCAAGCGCCTACCTCTTACAATAATTATTTAACATCTTTACATAATATCCTTTTTTTTTTTTTTTGTATACCATAAACGACGAAGTTGGATTTTAATGGTAAATTTGATGTTTGACGAAAACCCGGGAAAAATATCGCTGGAGCCTTGGTTTCTCTCTCTCCACGGTCATGTATTACATTGAATGTTTAATACCTTTTATACCACTTATATGTAATATTGTATATATCAGGGCCTCCATAAAGTATTTAGCTTTAACTTACTTAGGGCATCTTCAGGATTTATTTCACACTTGACAGAATTTTTACAATTCACAGCTTGCGTTAGGTTAACTGAAGTATGACAAAATTTGGGTACATGTTGATTCTTAAAGGTTCGAGTTCTACGCCTCACTCCATCGCCACAGCTGGTGGTGCATGGACTCCAATCACTCCATTCACCGACACTGCATTCTCGGGGAATCTGCGAAATAATTCGTAAATAATCATCTTTTAATGCTTAAAATATTACAACTTATATATGTATTGTGTGTGTTTTTACATAACTAAAACGTAGTAATATTATATTATTATGTTATGAGATTAAGAAAACATATTTTGGTCAGCAGACATATTCGCTGGAGAAATTAGTCTATTGAAAGGTGTAATTTGAAAGCCTTAAGTAACTACGTTCAGCAAGCCACTTTGCAAAGAGCCCAGCTAGTCAGTTCGTGAATGATTAGCGGAATGCCTTATTTATTTGTTACAGATAGTATTTATTTGTTATTGTTATATTGTTTATTATTTATTACAGAACGTTTTTTTAGAAACTTTTTAATTTTAAATTATTTGAAACTGAGAAAATGTTATTAATAATAATGTATAGTATTGATCAGTTTTTTTCTTAAGGATATAAAATGTATAATATATCTTTCTCTGTTTATTTTATATTTATTTATGCATATTTTTTTTATTCCTCTTTATTACCCGTATGTTTACCAATTATCTTGTAAATATTAATTTTAAATTATGGACACACTAATATAATATGTTTATTTATATTCTGCATTTATAATTTATTCTAAAGGGACACTAGTCCCAGGATAATTATTATTATTAAAAAACACTTTATTCAGAAATATTACAATTTGTCACAGTTTAAGGACACTTATAATAGAGTTCAGAGGGTCCCAGGATAATAAAGATATTTTCATTTCATTACTGATTTTCCGAAATAAAGTTTGCAAGCAATATAAAGAATTTAGAAAATAAATAAATAAATAAAAGTTTAATAATTGAAATTACCTCTGGCCACAAACAGTACAAATTTTAAGCAACATCTGTTGTAATTACAAACGACAAAATGTAGCTCAGGCGTTGAATATCATAATTATTAGTTGCTCTATATTAATTTAATATGAATCATAAAAAGTTAATAAAGACCGTTAAAAGCGATTATTAGTTTAACATGTTAATATATTTTAATTTTAAGGTTAGATTTCTACGTTAACTAATTATTTCTTGTATTACCAAACAGATGTCACCTTTCTGTTCATTATAATTATTCTTAGGGGACTAAATGTCCCAGATTAAAATTTACTTTTCTTCTTCTTCTATGCTTTGTTTCTCATTAGTTTCAACTCGTAATAAGTTTTAAACTAAAAAAAAAAAAAACCTAAATTTCCAAACTCTTCTTTTTTAACATGCAATTGGTTACTGACGACGACCCTCCCCTTGGACTAGAATAAAAAGAGATACTGCTGTTCGAAGATTGAACATTTAGCCATGCAGTAGAACTGCAATAAAGGTTTAAAATATGATACAAAATAAATACCGCAAATACTCACCTTAGCTTCATTAGAATGGCAAACCGGTTCCATGCATTTCTGCTTTTCCATTTTGCTAATGTGTACGCACTTTTTTTGGTTTTCTTTGTTGTTAACAACAAGCTCTCTGCTTCTGAACTTCATGCCGATACCACAAGTCACCGTGCAGTCTGACCAGTCGGTCCAAGGTGTCACTTCACATGTACTTTCGTATTCTACTGGTTTAATATCCTCTTCACTTTCTCCTCTATCGTGCAATAAAAACAATATATATATTAAGAACTTTAGAAAAATCAGTTTAACTTTTTTTTTATGATTGCTCAATAGTTAATGTTAATATGTATGTATGTATGTATATTTAAAAAAAAAATTTGGCTTAGTTTAACCTCTCAAAAGTCCTCTTTAAATGGATGTAACAATGGCAAACTCCATTTTCTTTTAAAGTAAAACTTGTTTAGTTAACAAGGAAGTAATTGCTAATTACTTAAATAAAAAATTTCTTTGGTTATCGCTTCCTATTAAAAACTAAATAATGATTTATCAAATATTTTTCAGGTAAAGTGGTTATGAAGCTGTTTCACCCAGACAACTATTCTAGGAATTGATCCGTATTTATAAATGACAAACTAAATGTTCCTGATCCTAATATTAACGTTTTCATGGAAATAATTGAAGCAATCAGCAGGTTTCTTTATTTTAAACGTAAATTTTAGGACTAGAAATATTTATTTCGTCACACATCAATCTCTGTTATGGATATCATATTAAAAAAACATTTTCGTTATCACTTCAGGTGATGAAAAACGGAAAAGGGGTATTTAGGCAATTATATTTATTATAATACATTACATATCACGGAAAAACAATAAATAAAATCTTTGCAACTATTAATTGTTGTCATTTTGGCTGAAAACACGGGTACTTTAACGTGACAGGATAAAAAATCACTTCATTTATTTTTTCAAAACTTGAGGAAAATCTCTCGTTTTTTCATTATAAACCCCAACTTAACTAATATGGACTTAAAGCTTATTAAACGAGGAAGTGTTTCTAAAAGTGAGATATCTGTATTATAGTTGTAGGATGATAACAAAAATCATGACTAATTTATGAGTTTTGTTAAAACGGAATTATCTTAGTTTAGACACTCAAAAGTTCTCTTTACATGGTATTAACAATGAAAGATTTAATTTTCTGTTGAAGTAAATTTTATTTAGTTTACAGTGAAGCAATTGCTAATTACTTAAATTAAATATTTCTTTAGATATCGTTTCCTATTCAACAAAAAACATGAATCATTTAAAAAAAAACACAAAACTTGGATTTCCAAATTTTCTGCTGGACATTGGCCCATTGTTTACATGAAGTTTTTTCGTAGCTCATGAGGTCTGTGCTATGACTCTTATAAAAATTTCCCTCTACTTTTGGAACACCCTATATAATCATAAATAATGTAAGTAATAATTTTTTAACATTTAATGAGATATATCACAATTTTAGAAATAAACTGATTTGAGAAGCACGTTCAAAGAAGTTTTGTTATTCGTTAAAAATTATTATTGAATATTTAACAGTTGACCGTTGCATTATAAAGGAAGGAGATGGTCCGGGGTTGCGGTCATAAATAGGCTAAATAGTTTTACCACTATTTAGCCTATTTATGACCGCAACCCCGGACCATCTCCTTCCTTTAAAAATGATTATATCTCTTTTTGAAGTCACCATCATTAAACCTATAAATTGTTGTTCGCTTATGAAGCCACTTTTGATAATAAAAAATAAAATAACTGTATGTGTACCTAAAAGGTGTAGGTAGGATCAATCTCACTCACCAATATCAATTTATATAAATGTGGACGCCATGTTGCTTATGGTTATTGGAAAAGTGTTGGTTGAACTTACGGACATTTTGGTAGGGGAGCGGCACACATCTCCTTGGAAACGAGTTGCCTGTCACATTTGGATGCCTTCGCTTTATCAGGGTTAATATAGTTCCTGTGTCTTTCCCTAATTCCTTTGCCGCAACTGACGCTGCAACTGCTCCATTGTGAATATTCTGTCACCTGGCATTCGGCTGTCTCAATCCCAATATAAGAAAACAATATGATTTACATTAATAGATGCAATGAATATCTCTATCAGTAAATATAGCTTTACTCATTAAACAAATATTTAATTTAAAAATAAAAATTAATGAATATTAAAAATATGATTTTAATTAAATATATTCACGTCTTGTTTCATCTTCGGTGTTTTCTGTGTTGGAAACTTCTTCCAAAATTTCTTGTTCGGTCATGTCAGTACACTTTTTCTTAAAAACATTTTCTCGAGTAATAATCAACTTTGCAAATGAGTTCATATTTTGATTTATCGGGTCATAAAATGGAGACCGTGCATCTTCTGGATACGTGGCGGTTATTTTTTGGATCCTTTCTGGTGGGTCAGTAGGGACGTTAGGGCTCTAAAAATAAAAATTCTTATCAAGTTCTGAAAAAAATTGAAAAATGCAATGAGGTAAAATCTTTATTACCATATATGAGATCCCACTGTCAGTTCCAGCATCATATGGATAGAGATCCAACGTCAAATTCTCGATCCAAGTGCAATTTGGTAGACAAAGGTTCAATCCGCTTACTCCAACAAACCAGTCGGGTGATGGACCTTTAGTATCAATATTTTTGTGTCATAAAATTAGTATATACTAGCCAAAGTTTATCCATAATAGTAAATTTGATATTAAAAAGTAAAAATTAATTAATTCATAATTTCATTCTAGGATCATAATTTAATCAATGATATTTAACATTTCATCTGACTACGACTTCTAATAGATGGTCGAATTTCAATTCTCCCTCCCCCCGATAGATTAGGGAAATTGTTAGTAGATAGCAAAGAGCGTGTATTCCCTACCATTTTTTTTTTTTCTCTGAATCAGCAAGAATCCGATAGGTTTCCATTTCCACTGAAAGGAAGATTAAACCATTTTCTACTTTCTTCAGGTTTTTAAATCTATTATTTTATTTTATGCTCGAGCCCTCTCTTTAACTTTCGCCCCACATCAGACAAGACACACGATGGTATTACTATAGACAATTACAACCATAGCCGCAAACTTCGGAGGAGGAGGAACGAGGGGGGGGATCGCCCCTCCTCCCAATAAAAATAGAGAGAGAGAACGAGAATATCGTTTCGCCCCGCCATATTTCGAATAACGAAAGTAACTGTGCTCTGCGTGCAGTCTGAGAACGATTTCCCTCAGTTGGTGACCGAAGAGAACTACCCGTTTTTCAAATCTTTTATTTGCGGATAGAAAACCGCAGTTGGCCCTGCTCATTTTAATATTTCAGGAAGAGGACCATTTGTTGGACGACCTCGGGAGGCGAGGAAGAAGAAGATGGAGGCAACCTGGAGGCGAGCTCATGACGGCTATGTTAACATAACCTCTAGATGTTAATTGGCAACATTTGCATAATCCGCAAAGTTGCCCACACCCGTTTTGCCCAAAGGCAAGGAAGGGAGATTAAATAAACATATAAAAAAAAAGAATAACGAAAGTAAAATTAAATTTTTAACAATTAATCTACATGAATAAATAAAATATGTTAACTAAAATCAATTAAGATAATAGAAAAAGTCTACTAGATGTCTAAGCCCTGGAAGCAGGTACGCAAGTATTTTACCACCTATTATTGAAACTTAAGTTTATACGTAAATATAAATATATGTAGCAACATATCCTAGGATTTTTTATTTCATTCACTTGTACCCTTCCATTTTTACGTGAAGAATTTATCACATTTCCCGCAGTAAATTTGAAGCATCAGAGAATTTAGAGCTCATCTCACTGTCTCGAGCCTTTAAATAAAAACAGAAATATGAAATATATCAAATGCCTCATTATATTTTCAAATATACCCACAACCCATAAGCAAACAAAAATACATTATAAAAATTTTTCCTTATATAGTATTATATTGTTTTGTAATTATTATACTCATCATGTTAATTGCCACTCATAATATTTATACATAATATAAACTTCCGAGTGTATTTTTAGGGGTTCTATCGCTCCACCTAACCCGAATGAAAAGTCTACTGAAAAATAAAGCTGAATAAAAAAAAAAAATTAGTTGGCACTTATAATACAGAATGTATTCGAAACGGAATGAACAATACACTAGAGGTACATAAAGAAGAAGAAAAATAGGATGTTTGGTTAGCTGTTTGTCTAGTTGTTTGGGAGAGGAGCAGAGATTTATTTCCATATCGTGCCAGAAAAGTTTTCTGTCGCTATATGGTAATTAGTTTTCTCAGAAAAGTCTGAGAAAACTAAATTTAACTTTTTTACGATTCAGGAACTTTTTAAAAAAAAATAAATTGCAGTATATTTTATTTTTAGTGGAGCATAACCAATAAAAAGGAATTATAATATTCTGTAATCAGCCCACCATACCATTTCTCACTATGGTTTATGATGACAAATTGAATATTTTTTCAGGTGTAAGAAGCAGGTTACCGCCTATGGCCAGCGAAGGCGAAGATTGGAAGAACTTCGTAGTGTCCCTATGTTGCAGTTCGGGAATCTCAAGCAATTAGGTAATGTAGCGAGTTAATAAGTTTGGCGATTTAATACCATACCAATTTTTTCAAATTATTTAGTTCGACTAATATTTCATTACAGCCAGGCTTGCCCATTTCTCCCCCTCCCCTTCCATCCTCCCCCCCCCCTAGAACGATGGCGCTTCCCTCACAAGAAAATGTATTGCTCTCCTCTTGCATGTAATGCAAATCAAAGTAAGATTACAAAAATTTTAGTTTAGTTGTTTTCCCTTGTCCCTTGGTTTTCCAGTTTTTAAGTTTTCCCTAATTGAAACTCAGCAAAAATCTGTTTTCCTCCAAAAAATCATTACCCCTTTTTTAATATACGCTTATCTCATAAATTTGTACGGCACAGCTTGAGCCATGCGACCTCCTTCTTGGCACCCCTGATTCTAATCAGTTCTAACTCGTGCTGCTCGAATTCCACAGCTCCATTTACTTGTCCATGATCCGTTATTTGAAAATAGATTCATATTTCCGTTCAATTTTGAGAAACTTATGAAATTTATAAAATATCAGGAATCATTTTGCAGATAAATAGTAAAAAATATTTATAATTTTATTTTATCTTGCTTCCAAACTTTTATCTTATTTAGTTTATCAGGCAACTCTACCAGAATCTAATAACAGAGGTGATTGTCGAGTGACAGTGCCCATTAAGTTGTTATGAATTTAAATATAGTGACTTGAAAAAATTTCCTTTTCTTTCTAGTGTTAGTAAGGAGTATTATTATATTACCAAACATAGATGCCAATGATAATAAGTGTTTTTTTGGATCAGCTTTGAAAATCGCCGTTGTTTTGCTGTTCACATCAGGATACCACAGCCCTGCTGCGATGATAATTGATTTTAGCAGCTTACTCTGCACACATAAGAAACTATTAATAAACTTAAGTAACTATTAAAGATAAATGATTTTATTTCCTAACTTATTGTTGAATATTTTCAAAAAATCGTATTTGAACATATCATATCTAAATATTATTGATAAAATACCTGATTTCTCAATTCATTTTCAAGTTCTCGGACGATTCCATACTCTGCCATTTGTTGCATCCCATAAGATGATAGCATTCCTTCGTCCCATATTGCGAAATCAGGAGAGTGAGTGGCTCCAATCAGATCAGAAAAATGAGTCATCCATAGAATCGAGGGATAATCTTTAGGATGAGTTTTAGGAGACCATATCCCTTCAAAAACAAGCTGAAAAAACATCAATTGCAACATATTTTTATTGTTGGAATAAGAGAAATAAGGAAAAAAAACGACACCATAGAGGAAATTGTATCTCAATTTCTCACTAAATATGTCAAAAACCAACCTTATATTTAGCATGATCACAGCTGCAGCATTTTTTTACCTCTTTCGGGGTTTCCTCGAGGGAACATATTGTTTTATTGACGGTCAACCATTTATTGTTTACTTTGACAGCAGATCTAGAAAACAAAACATGTGTTTACATTTTCCTTTCGGATTTATAAGTTTGAAATTCTTAACTGTGGTATTGTATCAAGTTTATAATTGATATATAAACGATACAGCATTTGTTTCACTCGCACAAGTCGCACTTACAACATCTATATCAGCAAATCTGCTTACCATATTTTCGATTTGCTTATTGGATGGAGTATAAGGAAGGAATTTGGGGTTGGCGAGGGAAAAGTGATATGCTTGATGGAGGGAAGAAATATATTCAATCACTGCTTAATCAATGAACAAGTCTGAATGTTTACTCAGCTATCAAATTGCACGCATTATATTAATTTTAACCAACCTTCAGGTTGTTACATTTAATTTACTCATTAAGTCTTATTTAAAACAATAACGAGGTTATTTAAAAAAAAACTCTCACTTGATATTAACACATCCGGATGAAGGAGTCAACCAGTGCACTGCCACTTTTCTTTTAGCTTTTGCGTTGCTTTCCTTCAAGGTATTTATACATTCTTCAGAAAATGTTGTTATCCCATCATTCATTACTTGTAAAGCACCTCCTCCACCACTTCCATCAGTTGTAATAAGGAAATGAGAGAATGTTTTTTTGCTATTTATTTCAACTAAAAAATAAATTAACTAAGAACAACTTATAATTTTGTAAATCATTGATTATTTACTTAGTTTAAGTATGGTATCTTCTAGTCAAATTTTTTTTTTTTTTTGACTGATTACTTATCAGTTGTAATTAAGAGATGAATGAATAGTTTAATATGTTTGGCTAAATATATTTGTTTAAAAAAAAGTTTATTTATTGGTATTGACAACTAAACTACGAATACCTTAAAGTAAATGCAGTATTGACTAGATGCAATCTATTCGAGTATATCTTTTTTTTTTTGTCTTTTTAAAGTTATTTTATATATTCGAAATCGAAGCAATAAAACTTCGATTATGTTCTTATTTATTCGTTAAAAAGAGACATCCAGTCACAGTGTAAGTTTTAGAAAACTTATTCCCATTTTCAGAACTACAATTTCTCTTGTCTATTAAATATATAAAAATAATTTATGCTAAACAAATATTGAAATAAATGAACTTCTATTATAAATTATTCCTTACTTTTTCGAAATATAGTATATTTTTTAATTGTAAAATTTCAGGGAGAAAGGCCACCCACTCTTCGGACTTCATACGATGGACATTGTTTCGGACCTCCCCCCTCCACCCCCAACATGGTCTAATTTTCAAGTCCATTATTTACAATAGAATATTTTATCTACAATTGTTTTAAATATTTATACTATTAAATAGATGTAGGAGCAGAACAACGGATACGATTTTATTTTTATTTATTTATTTTATTTTATCAGCAATCGATGTCACATGTAAATAATATAATGTGTTCAGGTTATTATTGTTATTAAAGATATTGCTTTGATTAACAAAAATCCATAACCAATATTACTAATTATTTAGTCGTAATATAGTTAAGTTAAGGTTGATTAACTTTAATAAATACTTTTGAAAGAAAGTTATAGATTTTTGTTAATCAACACAATATTTTTAATAACGATAATAATCTGAACACATTATACTATTTATATGTGATATCGATTGTTGATAAAATTAAAAAATAAATAAATAAAAATAAAATCTTATCTATTGTTCTGTTCCTACATATATACGAGTATGTATATATTATTTATTATTGTTATACTATTTAAATTAAAACCAATATTTCACAACACTTACATATCAATATGCTAACACCATTTATTACAATAATAAAAGTAAAAGTAAAATTAAAAGTTGTGAAATAGCGAAATAAAAAAATGCACAATTACACTTATACAGAAATAAATAATACAGAAATAAATGCTAATGCAGACTCTTAAAATTTTGTTGATGGTTTCTTCATGCCATGTTTAACTCATCTTACAGTATTCACGGCATAGGCGCAGATTTCAGGGGGGGGGGGAGGATGACGGAGAGGTAAGCAATTCCACCTCCCCAAATAACAACAGAGAGGGAGCGAGAAAACCATTTGACTCTCCCCTCCCCTCCCCCCAATATCCCGAAAAACAAAAATGAAGTAAAAATCAATAACAATTAATCTTATTCAATGAATACAATATGTAAACTAAAAACAATTAAAAAAATAGGACAAAAGGATGGCTGATCTAAGGACCAGAACTAAGTAAACAAGCATTTTACTATATCCTATGTTCCTATTCTTGAAATATTAGTTTATATTCAAAGATAATTATGTGTAGCAACATATCCTAGCACTTTATGATTCATTCATGTCCACCCTTCCATTTTTACGTGATGATTTTATTATATTTCCCGCTGCGAATTCGAAGCATCGGAGAATTAAGAGTTTATCTCACTGCCTCTAAAAACCTTTAAATAAAAATAAAATTGTTCAATACATTCAATTGCTTTGTTAACATATTTTCATATATACCCATACGAAAAAAACAACTAATATACAAACATAAATATAAATGCATGTTTTATATAGTATTATATTGTTTGTTTTACAATAATTATGTTAATTATCACTCGTAGTTTTTATATATAATATAAACTACCAATAGTTTTTGTTTGGGGCGTCCATCCCCCCTCTCCTTCCAGGAAGGAACGTCTGCGCTTATGATTCACGGCCTTTGAAGTTGTTTAAATTCTTAAAGTTGTTTTAAGTTAAAAGTTTATCCATTCCTAGTCATTACAAATATCGCCAAGTCGTGTATTTAAACTGATGTACTCATAAATATAATTGTAATAGTGGTGCTCAAAGGTGGAAGACGCAATTGAAAGTTTTGGAGGACATTTTTCGGGATTATGAACTTTAGGAGGAAACCACGTTTTTATGTACTTGCTTTTCCATCTATATCTGTTCTACGTAAACAAAAAGAAAACATGAATAATTTTTTCATCGCATAACGAAAATAAAATTTCTTGAAAGGCATTATCCCTCATTAGCATTAGCCCTCGAGCCAGGGCCCAAAAATCGATCTGATCGCAGGCAGGCAAATACGCGAAATTTGATGCTCTAAAACTTTGATTCTATGAGTTTTTCCTCTTAGGGAACTCATTTCCAAGTTACAGGGCCATTTATAGTAATTTGCCTCAGTTTTTGACAAATTTGGTAAAACTCAACGTTGGTTGACCGTGGTTTTATACCTTACCGCGAAACCAAATTTTAACGTTTATGTACTCGATTGACGCAAAATTTAACGTTCTTTAATTTATTAAAGAATACATTTTTCGCTTTGATGCATTGTTTAGGAGTTGCAGATGGAAAACCCAAAAAATGTCGAAAAAATCTGACTTTTTTGGCTGTAAAAAGTTTTCCCTCGGTGGCCAGTGTTAGCAATTTCGTTTTTTACATGTTTAAACCCATATATACGAGTTAAAAAAAATAGAAACTTTTCTCACATTTTTCGCAATGGATTTCCCGTTTCGATCCTCAAATTATTGGCCTAATATTCTTTAAATCAGCCGCCATTCTTGAAAGCAGCGGCTCCGGAGCGGCAGACAAGGATTTTTTTACTTAGAATAACATACACTTTCATAATTTACAATCAAACCTTCGCCTGCGATCAGGTCGATTTTTGGGCCCTGGCTCCAGGGCTTCATGCGCAATTGATCTTGTGAAGGATACTGAAGTAAATAATGTAAAATATACAAGATACAATACAAGTGTCTGCCTTACTTGTAAGATATTGGATTAAACATGAAATGTTTTATATGTTATGAACGTAAATTAATTCTAATAAATTGCCTTTTGCTTGTTACAATTAGAATATTATTCTCAAAATTTACAATCTTAGGCCATCTTGGGACAATAAGATGGAACCTAAGAAAAAACGGTTCACTTCTTGAACAGTCTTGCACAGCATAAAATTAAAAGCGGATTTTGCGTCTAAACATGTAGTCGTTTTTCCAATAGGCAAGGCCGTGGATAGAAACGGTCCTCGGATATATATTAAATTTTCCACTAAAAACCAAACCGAAGCGTTTTATAAAGTATGCAACAAAATTATTATGTAAATAAATCAAATAATTATTTTATCTAATGCTATCTATACTTTGTTTTAGAGTAAATTTAGTATTTAAAAAAAATCTCATAGGCCAGCCCGGTCCCGGGGTTTGGACCCCGCCTGCCTACAAGTAAAGTGTTAAAAAAGATAAAAAGTTGTTTCAGCTACTGAGAGCAAGCATATGTGAAGATGAAACACAAAAATTGTCTCCCAAATAACATTATTATTCTTGCAACTGCCTTTTTCAAAACTAGAAAAACTGATTTCTGGTAATCTAAGTTCACCACTTCAAATGAAGTAAAAACGCTGTTAAAATTTTCCCGGAGGAGAGTTTCACTTTCCCAGATTAATTTCTGTGTCTGTTACATTTGCATAACATCAACGCATCTTTTAGTGAAAAAAAAAAAAAATAGATATATCATATCTAATATACATATCGATCTATACAGATATATTGTTTACACCATACATTTGTTGAATGTTTCTTTAATTATTATTTTCTAAAATTTCAATAAACAATAGTTCTTTTTTTCTCGTTTCGTAAAATCTTGAATATGTCACGTGTATCATTTCTGAAATAATCGATTCAATTATACTACTATGTGGGAAATCGTCATTTTTCCATTGCCAAAACCGATACCAATCATTTATTATTACTTACCTGTGTATATAGTGGAAGGTACGAAACTCTGTGGGTTACCCCAGATAGACAAGTCTAGGAAACTGTTCCGATTCTCTGAAGGGAAGATGTGGCAAGCATTGATAATTGACAAGACACAAAAATTAAACAGCAATATCGCGAAACATTTAAACATCTTTGTTCTTATATTAAAAAATGTTTGCTCTACTGAGGAAAAACAAGTGCAGTACTCACTGCTCCCGGGGATGGGACGAGGTTGCTACTGAGCAGTTCCTTATTATTATCAGATGACCCTCCTTATCAATATCGTCAGTTCAGTTCAAATAATACAGCCTTTCTTCGAACACCATCTGGATAAAAGGGCGTTAGTTGCAATAAAGCATAAATGTGATTTCTTGTAGCAGTTTTGTTTAATACATGTATTTCTAATTCTCAATCTTTAAAAACTTGGACATACTTTCAGAACGAATTGTTCAGGATATCTTTTATTAGGTTTTTTTTAACTTATTTTTTTTATTTATTTATTAATGATATTTACAACTGTATTACAAGTAAAAATACATTCAGTAAATGTGTACAATAGAATATAATAACATGAAATCATTTGGTGAGAAACTACCCACTGGTAGCACTCTAAAAATGTATTTACAAAAGGAGATCTCGAGGCCATCTTCTTTTCAGACGCCTCGGAGGGTTGTCAGGTATCGAAAAGGAAGCAAGGTTAGAAACGAGAGGGTTAGGATGGTTCTGAAGTTTATTATGGAAGGAAAGGTATCTGGATTGGGCCAGGTCAGAAACATAAGGAACATTAAGGTCTTTATGGATTATTTTATTAGTGACAAAGTAAGGAGCATTGAGGATTTTACGAAGGATTTTGGATTGTAAGGATTGGATGCGAGAGGAATTCGATGGCTTTTTTTTAACTTAAAAAATCTTGTGACAAAATATCAGAAAATGAAGATGCTGATGATTTAGCAAAAGATGCTCATCACAACACCTTAACATTCAACTCATTTTATACATATAGCATTATTTAAGACAATACTGATATCTGACTGAACATTAGCGATATAATTAGAACGTTATATTGACGGTAAACAGTTGTATAGGCGTAATCCTGAAAATATCAATTTTTTTATTTTATTTTATTAAAAAGCTATTCCTCTCGGTGTCTTCAGTTCTACAGCAAATGGTGCCAGTTTTACACCAATCTTAAGCGGAGCCCCAAAAGCCTTTTCGTGACCTAAAACATTAAAATTATTTTGCGAAAATGGCTAAGGAATAAATTTAAAACATTTTTGCTTTTCTTGTAAAATTCACATTTCAAGGATTACGGCCATTAACCTTTATACCGTTATAAGTTTAGTACAAATTATAAATACATGCAATAAAAAACTGTACGTAATATCTTATTAAACATGGACAAAATGGAACTTACTTGAAAATATTTAATTTACTGACGGATTAAAAATGTAATCACGACCAAGAGTCTATACATTTTTTTTAAATTTTTATTTTAATGAAATTTACAACTGTATTACATGGAGAATACAACAAGTAAATGTGACATTGGTAACATGACTTGTACAACATGAAGAGAAACTACCCATTGGTAGAACTCAAATACATTTTTTTTAAATGTATTCATGACATTTACATCTATATAATATAAATATATATCTAGTAAATATGTACAGAGAAATACAATAGCATGGAAAGAATTGTAGAGAATCTACCCATCGGTAGCATTCTAATAAAATATCTAAATTAGGAGATCAGGAGGTCATCTTCTTTTCAGATGTCTCGGAGGTTTATCTAGGATCGAAGAGGAAGCAAGGTTAGAAACGAGAGGATTAGGATGGTTCTGGAGTTTATTGTAAAAAGATAGGTATCTCTGGATTGGGTCAAATCGAAAACATATGGAATATTAAGATCGTTATGTATGATTTTATTTGTGACAAAGTAAGGAGCAATGAGGGTTTTGGAATGTAAGAATTGGATAAGAGGGGAATTCAATGGCTTGGTAGAGCTCCAGAGCTCAAATCCACATATCCAAATAGGCGTTTTATTATCATGTATACGAGTCTATTATCGTTAATTGGAAGTTCAGAGCGTTTATCCAGCAAGTGCTGAAGTAGTCGGAAACGTCGAGCGGTTTCTTGTCTTTTTAGTCTAGTATGAGGATTCCAAGTTACACGTTTCTCCAGGTGCAGTCCTAGGTGTCGGATTTGTTCAACAGGGATAAGCGGATTATTATTAAATGATACTGTAGGACAGGAAATCATATGTTTACGACGAAGGATAACGGTAATTTGATGTGACTTATTTTGATTCGCCAGTTTTGACACCATTCTTCAAGATTTGGGGGCTGTGGTTGAAGAGTTTGGAATGTAATTGATGTGCCGTTATTAACTGATATTACACGTGTCATCGGCTTGGATGGAGATGGCACTGTTGGGATGGGTTGGGATGTCAGCTGTATATACTGTGTAAAGGATGGGACCTAGGGTACTACCTACAACAATAGAATGGAAAACAGAGATGAATAGGCATTGTTGTTATTTAATTTGAAGTATCTATCAGTAAGATAGGAGCGAATAATGAGGAAGTATGTAGTTGGTCGGAATTTAAAATCCCGGGTGCCAGACTCCATCAAACGCTTGTTCAACGTCGAAAAAGACTCCCTTGCAGTACATTACGCGCTCCAATGCAGAGGAGACTACGTCTACCACACGATAACATTGCTGGGTAGTAGAATGAGATTTGCGGAATCGAAATTGCTGATCCGAGATTGTGTGATTAGAATCTATGATGGGATAAAGGCGTTTTAAGATACAATTTTCCAGGATTTTTCCAATGATGGGTAAAAGATAGAGATGATGGTAAGAGGATGATTATTCCGGTGGCGTTTTGGGTTTATTTATCATTTTAATAATTGATAATTTTTCCAAGGATCAGTAAAATATGTGGATCGGAGTACATTATATATATAAGGTAAGGAATAGAATGGCATTCCGAGGAAGCAGTTTTACGATATGGGATGTAATAAGGTCGTGTCCAGTAGCTTTGCAGGAAGGTAATCAGTGAATGATATTACATATTTCTAAAAGATGGAATGCTTTAGGTGGAAGGGTTAGTTGGAGTGGGATATTCAATTCTTCTTCAGTACACTCAAGGTGTATTGGATTTAGGATATCTAGATGTGGGTTAAATGTTTTGAAGAGGTGCTGAGCAAATATTTGAGATTTTTCATCATCAGATCTGGACCAAGTTTGAGTTTCAGTAACGAGAGGATGCTTAAAATCTGAAATTTAGGAGCTGTTTGGAGGTCAACTATAATGATTTCTCAGTTTTAGTAAGATTTTCTGTTAAGTTAAGTAAATTTTATATTTTTTAATTTCTGCTTTTAGTTGGTATGTCAACTTCTTGTAATAAGTTTTATCTAACGGGTATCTAGTCCTGTGCCACTTCGATCTTTCTCTGTGTAAAATGTGTGCTCTGTGTGTTGCCCTTAGTAAAATACGAATGTGCTGTGTGGCAAGTTAGTCTGTTGAGAGTTTTTAATTTTATTGATAGATGTATTGTGTTGTACATGATAATTTTATGTTATTATGTATTGTGTCTCTTATAGATGTAAGTAATTATATGGGTGTGCCCATGTCATGTTTTGTATTAAGAGGGATATTTAAGTCCCAATTGTTTTCCAAATCATTACGAAATTCGTCCCAGTTTACTCGTCCTGTAATCAACGTAGTAGGGGAAGAGGGAAACGTAGTCGAGGGAAGCTTCTTTTTTTTTTTTTTTTTTTTTTTTTTTTTTTTTTTTTTTTTTTTTTTTTATTTAGAAAAAATACATTTTGCTTCAATTAAGGGCATTGAGTATTTAGGAGATGAATAAAATACAAACATACCATATATACAGTAAAAGAAAAACAAGATTATAACAAAATAAAATAATAAAAGTTGGAGTAACAGAATAAATCGATCATGATACAACATTAAATAAAATAATAAATAAATAAAAACACATTCATACTGATTTACAGTCAGCCGAGGAAGCTCCGTGTCGGGCCTTTTCCCCCACGTGTGGAGGACAAGGCAAGACTCCAAGAGATCCTAGCGCTTCTCTCTCAGCCGCATCACTGGGATGGGAATCCAGTGGAGACTAATAGAGGGCACTAAAGCCACATACGCTCATGACTTGAGTGGAGAAGCTGGCCATCACCAGGACTCCAATGACATCTTTACAAAAGATCTCGAGGCCACTGCCGCTTCAACCTTCGAGGAGGATTGTAGGGATGACTAGAACTGGATAAGGATTGTGCTAAGGGATTAGGATGATGGATTAGGTTCTGATGAAAATTTGAAAATCGAGATGGAATAATGGCAAGGACGTAAGGGATGTTAAAGTCATGATGTAAGGTTTTGTTCGTAACATAATACGGTCGAAAATTTAGTTGTCCCCCACAGTTCAAGTCCGTAGGTCCAGATGGGTTTCAGTATGGTCTTGTATATTAATAGTTTGTTCTCAATTGAGAGGTTAGATTTTCTGTTAAGTAGTCTACATAACTGGCCAAGTCGTCGGTTAAGCTCTTGTCTTTTTAGTCTGGTATGTGGGTTCCATGTTAGTCTTTTGTCTAAAAGAAATCCAAGATACCGAACTGTGTCTGAGATGGGAAGAGGTACTGAGTTGAAAAGGATATGTGGACAGGATCTGCGTCGGAGGGTAAAGGTGACATGCTTGCATTTGGATTCATTGATCTTGATGCGCCAATTGTTGCACCACTGCTCAATTAGGGAGATGTGTCTTTGAAGGTTTAGGGATACTGTTTCAGGGTCTGGGTGGGAAGATAGGATGGCGGTATCGTCAGCAAATGTTGATAGAAGGGTATTAGGATGGGTTGGAATGTCAGCTGTGAAAAGGATGTAGAGAATTGGGCCCAAGACACTGCCTTGTGGAACACCAGCCTCAACTGGTTGGTGTTACACAATAGTTGGAAAATTCAGTGCCGCAGCGGACTTGAAAGGAACGATTTGAGAGGTAGGATTTGAGGACTAGGTACAAGGATTGTGGTAAGTGAGTTTGGAGCTTGAAAAGCAAGCCATCGAAACCCGGTCGAAATCTTGCGCTACGTCCAGAAAGCCACTAGTGCAATATTGCTTGCTTTCAAGCGCA